TGTCTAGGTTAAAGCAGGAGAAATGGAGAAGAAGATTAAGAAAAAACCTCTCAAAAAACAAAAACTAAACATTGAAAATCAAAAAACTTGTGTTTAGTCAGGCACTGTGGCATACACCTATAATCTCAGTAGAGGAAGATCAATGCCAGCTTGGGCTACACAACGAGACATGCTCTCAAAATCAAACAAGTGGAAGCTGGAGACACAGCTCCTTGGCAAAGACTGTGTACTGCTCTTGCAGAGGACCCAAGTGGCTCATAACCACCTATAACTCCAGCTCTACAGAATCTGAGACCCTCTTCTGGTATAACCTGCACACATATTACACACACACACACACACACACACACACACACACACACACACCAAAAACATTTTCATAGCAGTTCCCAGAACAACCGAATACAGGAAGACAGCTGTTCTCTTACTCACTGGGCAACAGCAAAGATACCTGCCTAAACATAAGCAGGCATTAACAACAGTGGAAAACCCGGCAGCCTACACCGTCCTTCCTTGATGTAGAAAAAAGATCAGAGCTACTCCTCCTGCTGGAGACCCTACATCCACACTGCCTCCCATCTTCCTATAAGCTCTGTTTTCTTTTATTAGTTTATTTTTTACATCCCAATCCCAGTTCCCCCTCCCTCATCTCCTCCCATTCTCCCCATTCCTCCCCCCGCCACCTCCCATCTGCTCCTCGGAGAAGGTAAGGCTTTCCCTAGGAAGTCTACTAAGTTTGTCCCATCATCTCATTGAGGCAGGACTAAGGTACCTCTCCACCTCCTACGCCCTTGTTGACTAGGCTGAGCAAAGTATCTTTCCTGTGAGCTCTTTATTGGGTATTTTTTTTCTGGTTTTTTGGTTTTTACGAGACAGGGTTTCTCCGTATTGTTTTGGAGGCTATCGGTCCAGCCCGGCCTTGAACTCACAGACATCTGCCTGCCTCTGCCTCCCGAGTGCTGGGATTAAAGGCGTGTGCCACCACCTCCCGGCCTTTATTGGGTATTTTAAACTAGACTTGGAGGGCTCCCTACATTAGAAGCAGTTGAAAACACTTCCTACAGTACTCAAGTCATGCTCCTAAAAGCATAGATTCACTAGTCAATGGGACAGGGTCTAGGGTTTTACATTTTAAAAAATTTCCAGGCGTTCTGGTGGAGTCAGGCTCTAGAATTATCAGATTTTAGAGTTTTCACTTATTTATATATTTATTTGTTTGTTTATTCATTTAGTTATTAATTTCTGTACTAGGGGTGGCGTCCAGGGCTTCCAGTATGCCAGGCTGATACTCTACCACTGACCTGCATCCCCAGTCTCCACCAAACCAAACCTTCCTGCTGAAGGGGCTCACTGAAAGGGAGAGGAAAGGAAGAAGGCAGAAGGCATGTTTTCTTGATGGGAAGACAAGATACTCATCATAGCGCCTGTACACTGCAGAGTCTTCGAGTCACCAGTGTATAATTGAGTCAGTAAGAAAACTCACTCAAGTTCCAAACTAAATTCTAAACTGACTTACAAAATGAAAGAGGAAGTTACCTTTCACTTCTTATCCCTGAACTTTGACATTTGAAAAGCTGAGACTTTCATGCCTGTGAGCTGGTCTGACTCTGACTGGTGGTCCATGCCCTTTATTAGTAATCCGTTACTTACATCACATTCTTTTGACTTGAGACAAAGGTGTCACCTCTAACCCCTTCTTCTCGTTAACGTCTTCCATTGTCCTTTACAGCAGTTCCTTGCAATATACAGGGATTATTCCTCCAAACAAAGGGTCATCTCCATCCCCTCTTCCTCCTCTTTCTTTTCTTGTGTGACCATTGCGTACAGTTAGCGTTGGGATTATCCACCCGTGACTCACAGAAGTTTTTTATTCTTCCATATTTTTTATTTAACTTTTTACACATGTCACTCTCAGTTCCCTCTCCCTTCCCTCCTCCCCCACCCTCCAACCCTCCCAACCCCTCACCCCCACTCCATCCCCCCTCTGCTCCCCAGGGAGGAAAAGGGCTTCCATGAGGGATTTTCAGAGTCTGTCACATCATCCCAGGAAGGGCCTAGGTCCTTCCCCATGTGTCCAGACTGACAGAGCATCCCTCCATGTGGTATGGGTTCCCAGAGTCCATCTGTATGCCAGGAATAAATACTGCTTTACTCTCCAAGGTCCCACAGATTTCCAAGGCCTCCTCTCTGTCACCCAGGTTCGATGGGAGGGTGTCTGGATCAGTCCCATGCTGGCCCCTCAGTCATCAGTCTGGGGTCCATGTGCAGAAGGTTTAAACCCTCTGCTCCAGGACACCTTGTGAAGCACTCATCTCCTCTCTTGCCCTTTGGTTTGGAACACCCGTTCCTCTACCTCCATGGTCCTTTGTGTTTTCCCTTTGTCACCAGGGATTTGACTCTCGCTCTTGAATTCCTACCGGAAGGCTGGTTTTCGTTATCTATTAGTTAGTGTCCATTAATGACTACCCCTATGGGTCTCAGACTGCTATGTGCGCTTGGATTCCTGTGTATTTCATCAGTTGAATCCAGGGTCCCAGATCCCCACCCAGACTTCTATCACCAGTTTTGGTTTCTGAATGTGCCACAAAAAATGTATGTTGTTTGTTACTAAAATGCCCATGGGGAGTCTGTTGTGACCTTTTGCCTTGTCTTACACTCTTCCATAATTGGCCATCCAAGAGTGAAAAGTTAATCTACTAGAACTCATTTTAATCCAATTATCAAAAATAGCCTTGGTAGTGGGTTAGGAAGATGGTTCAGTGTCTAAGAACACTTGTTAGAGGGCTGGGTTTAAATCCAAGCATTCATACTGTGGCTCATGATCGTTTATAAAGCCAGTTCCAAGGGATCTACCTCCTCTGACTTTAGTGGGCTCCTGCATACTCGTGGTACACATATACACACTCAGGCACACATACATACACATGATATAAAATAAATACGAAACAGTCCTGCAGAGATGGCTCAGCAGTGAAGAGCACTGACTACTCTCCCAGAGGAACCACATTTGATTCAGAGCACTGACTAGGAGCTCACAACTGTCCATAACTCCAGTTCCAGGGGATCCAGTGTCCGCTTCTGACAGTCGTGGGCGTCAGATGCACACCGGCACCTGGACATACATGAACCCCAAACAGCCCTCAGACTGCTTCAGTCCTTCCTTTCCCAAGTCTGTGAAGCCACTAATCTGATTTTTGTCCGAATAGATTTGCCTTCTCTGGATATTTTATGTAAGTGGAATCTATAGAGGGCTGGGCCTTCACATATCAATTATTTATCAAGAAAATCATCAATTGAAGTTTTCTTCCCAGGTGATGCTGGTTCATGTCAAGCTGACAAAAACTAACAAGCACAAGTAGCATATTCAGTTTTGTATGAGGTCATTTTCATTTTTCTTTGTTCTATATGCAGAAGTGAATTTGCCAGGTCACATGGTGGCTGTCTTAAGTAATGACATGACCACTCCAAAGTATAGCTGTGGAGAAGGTTTTCATTGTAGATATGGAATGACTATAATAAAGAGGATAAACGTTGACTGGGCTATGGAAAAATTGGAACTCCTTCATAAACTGCAGGTGGGAATGTAGATACATTGTGGAGTATAGCCAGCTGCAATTGAAGAGTCCAGAGCAGGGAGAGAAACTAGTAGACTAAACATAGTTAGTAGACTCAACCAGGCCATGAAAGGAGTAGAGAGAGAGGAAATAGAGGAAGATGAAGAGAGAAGTCAGAAGACAGAAGAGAGAAGAGGAGGTGGTGTGTGTGTGTGTGTGTGTGTGTGTGTGTGTGTGTGTAGGAATGAGACGCTGAGGAAGTGACCGGAAGAGCCACATGGGTGAGCCTGGAGGCTAACATTCACTTTAGTATGCTAATAGGCGCCACAGATATTTAGTTGTCCCAAGTTTCTTTTGGATCTGACAGTAGTACAGTGTTTATCTCTCAATCGAGGCTACATTTTTTTCCCCCAAAGAGACCGAGCCATTTTACATTCCCACCTGCAGTGTATGGAGTTCCAATTTTTCCAGAGCCCAGTCAACGTTTATCTTCTTTATTATAGTCATTCTGTACTTTATTGTTATTATAGTAACTGCCCATTGTCACTGGAGAGAGCAAAAATGTTTAATTGCTGAGGACTGGAAATGAGCGGACAAAAAGAGTGTGGGTCCTTAGTCATATAACACAGAGAAGATTGAAATCATGATCCCAGAGCCCCCTTAAAGAAGCTGTGTTTGAGTCTCTTCTTTCCCTACCCCCATGCTGCACTACAAGGGGTGGCAGTGTGGTGACACAGGGAGAAGTCTTGCTCGACAGCGCCTGCCTTTCAGTTCTCCACCTTAGATATTGGTTCTGACAGTGATTTGGGCAATACTCTACAGACGACGCTGGGCCACCTTTACCCATGCCTTTTTTCTTTCCCCCAGGGCTGAGAAGTGGGGGGGGGGGGGGGTTATGGCCTTCTGGAACAAGGACGGGGAGAATGAAGAAAACTACAACACCCAGGAGTCCACGCGGTGCGAACAGGAGCGAGAGTTTAATCCTGGCCGACAACACAGCGCCCTCCCCGGTGCATTATTGTTAAAACCTAGAGGCGAGTCATCTGCGCGCATGCACAGTGTCTCCACAACTAGTTTAGCCTCCGTCCTCCTTCACGATCCTTTCGGGCCCAGATGACGCCGGCTTTTCCCCGCCCCGTTCTTTGGAGTCTGGAGAGGGTGGGGCTCTGGGCAAGCGCGTTCACAAAGCGGAGCGGGGCGGGGCGGGGTGGCGGGGAGAAACACGACCAAGTTTTGGGTGTGGAAGAAGGGCTAGGGAACCTCGGGAACAGAGCGCATGCGTCCCAGCGGAGCTGCACGCCTAGAAAAGTTTAAGGGGGGAGGGGGCAACGGGACACGGAGCGGAAGTGGTTGCTGGATTGACGCACGCGCATTGATCCCAGGTGCCCATCCTCCGGAAGTGGAGCGGGCCGCCCTGCGGCAGGCCCCGCCCCTGCCCCGCCCCCGCTCCCCGCCCCTTGCTCTCTTAGGTGGCGCCGGCTTGCGGCCGGTGTGGCGGCGGTATAGGTTGGAGAAGCCGGAGTGGGCACGTTCCCTGGACAGGCGGCAGGGCTATGGTCGCCAGCTCCCGAAGGCCCGCTTCGCATTTCAGCCAGATCCTGAGTGCGAGCCTGAGCTGTCTCCTCAGCCCAGTCCCCCGGCGCGGTCGGCTGCTCCCCGGGCGCGCCCCCCTCCGATGGCGGCGGAGATCCAGCCCCAGCCCCTGACCCGCAAGCCGATCCTGCTGCAACGGGTCGAGGGGTCGCAGGAGGTGGTGAACATGGCGGTGATCGTGCCTAAGGAGGAGGGTGTTATCAGCGTCTCGGAAGACAGGTACGGACTGCTTGCCCCTCGGCCGCGCGGAGGTCCGGCCGGGGCTTGGTGGGAGTGGAGACCGCGCCTACTGGTTCGGTTCCGAGCGCTGCGCTGCGGCCTCGGCCGCGGGCACTGTCTCCTGGTAGAGTCCGAGTGGCCTTTGAGCTAACGGTGCACGGGACACTTGACCAGTGTCCAGTTTCGGGGATGGGAGGGGCAGAGGGAGGAGCCGCCCGGCCTTGCAGGTGTATTAGCTGGGAATAAGTCCGCTGCACCAAGATGATTTGGGGACGCTAGTTCGTCCGGTTCTTGGATCCCCAAACGAGGAAGGAAACATCACTGCTTTCTTCTATACAGTTCAGCAATCTGTGTCTCTCCAGGACATCTTTGACCGAACTCAAGGATTGTTAAATTGTGAAGACAGTAACTTTCGGCTTCTGCCTGTAGTGCCTTCCTTTCCTAAAATCTTATGTCTTGGAGTTCAAGGGGAAGTGTCTGGAAATTGCAAGGCATCACTTTTGCAGACAACTACTTGAGTTCCTTCCCTTTGCCTGCTTCCTTTCCGTTTGCCTAGTTAGCAGAAGTAACTCTAGTTGTTCTGCCCTCAGTATTCTCCCTTGCTCTGCGTTTTGATTTCCAGAGGAAAGCTACCAGAATATAGGAACTAGGGTAATACATTTATGAAATTACTACTTGAGTATTATCTACAAGCATTCTAAAAACAATTGTAACATGGTAGAGGTATGTGACTATCTGGGTTTTTAGCTCCAATAAATTAGTTAGGTTTTCTTAATTGAAATTGGTACCTTGCTGAGGTAGTTTTCTTCCATAATGACTCCTAAAATTGCAGAGGTAGCAAAAGTGTTCGCTTCTTCTTTTTTTATTTAAATAATCGTTTTGTCACTTTCTCTAATTATAAACGCAAACATTTTGACTTGATTTGTTTCTTAGGTTCTTGACTATAACTAGGAAGAGTGTATTACATGTATATATTACACATCTACATCTGTATTGTGCTTGATATAAATGGCACCTGCTTCATTTCCTATGCAGATTCGTGGGGGAAACAGTGCCAACATTTGTTAAATGGCAGCCAGCCCTGGAAGAATAGAAGAAATGAAATGAAATGGATGTGGGAGCGCTTTGAAATTCATAAATAAGTCTTATGACAGTGCTTAATTTTTTCCTTTGGTGCCACATGCTTAGACTGCGTCAGACTGCTTCTGGGCTTACTTTTTTTTGTCAAAGAATTATCTTTTTGGAATATTTTCCATAAAATATATGGAAGAACTTTATTGATAACGTCTCCCTTTCCATTACTAGAGATGAAACTGACTCCTAATTTGTAAGCAACTCGTAAGTTCATTGAATCAAGCCGCAGGAGGAGAAAGCTTGTCAGACCTCAGGTTCTTAAGATTAGCTTTGGAGCATCTGACTCCCATTCCCATGTCTTTTCCTCGAAGGAAACAACTTTAGTGGAGGTGACAGTTCAGTGTCTAGAGAAGCTAACAGTATGTGTGGAAGAAAGTGAAGAGTAAGTTTCGTTTCATCACAGGACAAAGGAAGTGTAGTGCTTAATTCTCTTGCTTTCTTATTTTGCAGAGTATAGAACAGAATTGATCTTATTGTTGAGTTACTGTAAAATGGGCTTCTACAAAAATCTGGGTCCTTGGCTCTGTAAATTTCATTATTCAGGTTGGCAAGTCTGGGTCACTCAACCATGAAAGTAACTGTTTTAGGGAGCATTTTTAGTTATAGTTTTCACTAAAAGAGAATTGATTGTGTTCTTCCTTTTCAAAATCAATGTTAGTGCCTCTTGATATAATGCTAAAGATAGGAAGACAGAATATTGATTTTTTTTAACCAACACTTACAAAGACATTACCATTAACTGCTTTGCCAATTCATTATTGAACTACAAGGGTCAGCTACAAATAATGTTGTATAGCCTTGTTCTTAGGAAACCCTTATTTCTTTTTTCCACTTCTGACTCATTATAGCCTTTATGTGTGCCTTTGAAAACACATAGCATTTTTTGTTGTAAACAGTAGTGTACATACTTCATGTCTGTTCTGTCTTCTGTAAACTCACTAGTGAGGTTTGTGTGTCTCATTGATTGTAGTGATCGACATAGTGCCTGGCACTCAGGAGTTTCTTGATATTTGTTGCATCAGTGACTGTTGAAGGACTTTCTTTCGCTCTGTTTCTGGAAGTAGAGTCTTATTTGTTCTGGATTTAATTGATATTTATTGAGTGAATATTTTGATGACCCATGAAAACCTTATGCAGACAAGCATACATTTGGGGGGGAAGTATTGACCTGAGTGCCTTCCACACTTTAAAACTGAGAAGTGCAAGCATTGCTTCATTCATCCGATTAGACAGTTGAGTCACTAATGTGCTCTTATTGTGTGTGTGTGTGCATGACAGGGATGCTCACAGTTGAGTAGTAGAAATATTAGAGTACAGGTTTTGTTTTGTGTATGTGTGTGGTACTAGGGGTGGAACCCTGAGTTTGGTGCATTCTAGGCAAACATTCTACCACTGAGTCTTACCCCAGGCCAAGAATACTATATAATAAAACAAAACCACTACATTTAAGATACAGTACTGGAAAGAGAACTTTCAGATGGGGAAGAATGGTTGGGCTCCACAACCCTTCTTGTCCTCTAAATCTCTTCACCTTAGGCTCTACTAAAACAAAGCAGAGAGGTCTGAGGTGACACTCTTCTTTCAACTGCTTTTCCCCTCTACTTGAAGTACATTTTCGTTAAGCTGATGGTTCTCAAATCTTCAAAGAGTAGGTAAAAGAAATCTTTACTGTATTCAAGTTCACTGTGACACAGTTAGGACAATTGGAACTTTACTTGATTATCAAAGGAGGAAACATAGGGAAAATAAGAAATGTAAGAACAAACTGAGTCACCAGTAAAGCTTTCTGCCCTGATGCAGAACCTGTTCCCAGAACTCACTGGCCTTGAAGATGTTTTAGTTGTAACTAGGGTTTAGCCACAAAGGCTACACCAGACTTTGGGATCTAGGGTCCCTCATTGCCCTGCTTCTTTTCAGGCTGCTCTTTCTGGGCTAATGGCGTGTCAGTGGTCCTTGTGTAAGAGCTTCTTCACTCAGGGGGTGGAGAGGTGGCTCAGGGGTTAAGGGCACTTGTTGCTTTTTCAGAGGACCCTAGTTTAGCTCTCAGCATCCAAGTGGTAACTCACTACTTCCTATAATTCCTGTTCCAGTGGCTTTCTGGTTTCCAAGGGCTCCAGGCATTCCTGTGGTGCACATACATAGATGCAGACAAAACACTAATACATACATACAAAATAGAAATTAAAAAAGAGGGAAAAAGCAGTTGAAAGAAGAGTGTCATCTCAGACCTCTGTGCTCTGTTTTAGGAGAGCCTAAGGTGAAGAAAGCCAGGTGGGATTTCTGTCTAGGTGTGACCCAGTCCTGTTCAGATCTCTATCTTTGGTTTTAGTTAGGTTTCTATTGCTGTAATAAAGACCTTAATCCAAAGCAACTTGGGGAGGATAGGGTCTATTTCAAGCATCAAGGGAAGTCAGGGAAGCAATCTGGAGGCAGCAATTGAAGCAGAGGCCATGGAGGGGTGCTGCTTACTGGCTGGCTCTTCCCAAAGCTTGCTTAACCTGCTTTTTTTATACAGGTCAGGACCTGCCCGAGGGGTACCATGCCTCTAGTGGGATGGGCCTTCTCACATCAACCATTAATTAAGAAAATGCCCTTACAGACTTGCCAATGTGGTGGGAGTATTTTCTCACTTGAGGTTCCCTCTTCCCAGATGATTCTAGCATGTGTCAAGTTGACAAGCTAACCAGCACACCTCCCTAAGTTCATCATATACATACTTGAACTCAGGACAGCTATCTTACCAAACAGAGTCTCTGTAGTTTCTGTTAGCTATTGGAAGCTGATGTTCTCCACCTGGTGCTCAGAGAAGTCGAGCAGTCCTTCCCTCTGATAGGTGTTGTAGGATGAATAGGAGTTAGGAGGAAAAAAAGTGGGGTAAGCCGAGCCTGTTGGTGCAGCTACCCTAGAGGCTACTCAGGGGTTGAGTTAGTAGGATTACATATTCAAAGTTACTGCAGCAATTTAGGGAGACCCATCCTTAAAATAGTGAAAAATGGGACAAGGGTATGTCAGTGATAGAGTCCTTGCTTAGTATGTACAAAACCTTGGGTTCAATCCCTTCTGCTACCAAAAGCAAGAACAAGATCTATGGTAGAGGAAAGGCATCCTAGATAGTGGGGGAAGAGCAACTAGGACCTGAGGGTAAGCCCCAAGGATCCAGGTAAGACTGAAGAGCCAGCCTACACAGTCAGAATCAACTCTGAGAGTTGCTGTACCTCAAGGAGTACTCTGGAAAATGAGTGTCTCCAAAAGGAATAAAAAAGCAGTGACCCTCCTGGGTGCAAGCATTTGGGATTCTTTTTCAGGGGTGAGGATGGTAGGATGAGAGGGAACCTGAGGGAGGGTGACCTAGTTTGATCTCTTGTTATTGTGATAAAGCACTATGCCAAAAGTATCTTGACAGGGTGGGGGTGGGGAGGGTGGGAAGGGTGGGGGTGGGGATGCGGGTTATTTGACTTCCTGTCCAGTCACAGTCCATCACTGTGGGAAATCAGGGCAGGAGCTCCAGGCGGGAACTGAAGCAGAGACTTGGAGGGAAGTACTTACTGGCTTGCTCTCTGTGGCTTGCTCAACTTTTCTTATACAACCAGGACCACCTGCCTAGTGGCTCGGCCCTCTCCCATCAATCATTAATTAGGAAAATACCACACAGACACGCCTGTATGTAGTGGTCTTGCCAGTAAACGTGTAATGATGGCCACACCCTTTTAATGTGGCTTTAATGGAAAGAGGGAAGCTTGAGGCATGACTTCCTCTTGGGTCAGCTGATCATTAGGAAGGACAGAGAAGCTTCCGAGGTTCCTTATATTTATCTGTGTAAGTGTTCCCCAATAAACACCCATTTATCACTTCTCTTGGGGTCTAGT